TTTTAGCTCTATAACTACGTAATACAATTCCACCCTAAACCATAAAGACTGTGCTGTTTTCTATTTCTGCTCTGAAAGAAGGAAATGAGTGAAAATGGCATAGGCAGGCTCACCCTCAAAGACTGTCACGAAGCCTTGGGGGAGTGACGCCGGCGCTGTCCCCACAGGTGTACAACCCCCGCATCCGGGCGAGCTCGCGGGTCCGGCAGCCCATCAGCCACAGCCAGGCGGAGGCGCGCAAGCGGACCCTCAGCCCCACGTCGTCAGGTAGCTGCGGGCACCCCCCAACTCACGGCCACGGCCACGGCCACGGCCACAGCCACGCCAGGCAGGAGAGCACGCCCTGTCTCTTCCAGGAAAGCTGTTCCGTCTGTACTCGGAGGAGTTCGCCTCCAGGGACATGCGGCCGCTGAAGCCGGCGGAGGTGCAGGAGGCCAACCTGACGAGCACGGTGCTCTTCATGAAGCGCATCGCCATCGCCGGCCTGGGCCACTGCGACCTCCTCAACCAGCCAGGTGTGCGGGCGGCGGCGGGGCCTGAGGTGACGGCCGGCGGCGTGGGGGGGACAGAGCAGCGGTGTGGTCACAGGGAGAAGGAAGCAGGAATTATGGTGTCCGGTTGGGAGAAGCACAAGGCTCTCCATCAGCATGCAGCACCCCGTTCTCGGTGGTCCCCCTGAGACTGGCTGGTCGCGGGGACGGCGTTCAGGGAGGACTCATTGTCTCCCGACAGCACGCACACAGCTACATGCCGCTGCGCGGGGAGCAGGGCTGTGGGCGCTGACTGCCCGGGGAGGGGACCGTGCAGCTGCCCCGCGTTCAGCTGGTGGAAGCAATCACAGACGGCCAGCTGGCCTCCCTTTCAGGCCCATGAACCGTGAGGAAACGATCTGGCGTAACTGGGCTGCAGGCTGCTAAGTGGGCTCAGATCCTGATACAGCTCTTTAAAAACAAAGCCGGCTGTCTCCCTTCCCTGGCGCTGAGCACTGACCTCCATTGTGAGGGAGTCACTGCTGACCCTGTGTGGACGGGGGCTCAGAGGTCTCCCACCGGACAGCAGTGGCACCCAGAGAGACTGGAGGAGCCTGTCCTGCCGCAGTCCTGTGTGGGCACCGGCACGGGCCCTCTGATCCTCTGGGTGGCTGTCGGGCTCTGATGCTCTCACGTGTGCTACAGACCACGGAGGGGACGCTCGTAGATCCCCCAGGTTCCCTGTGCAGCTGCCTCCTCGCACCCCGACCAGCGGGCTCTGGCCACCACAGGCTCCCCATCCCGCAGCACCATCCCCACAGCTCGGGGTCTGAGGCTCCATCTGGCTGCCCTCCCTGCACCACAGCTTTTCAGGCAGCAGCTGGGCAGTCACGTGGCTCACGTCACTGGTGTCCCCGTTCAGGAGTCGGCCCTTCACGGCCTGGTGTCTGTCTGGGAACTGCTGAGTCTTGTTTGTTCACCGGGGAGGGACATCTGGTCTGTCCCTCCGCCTCGGGACCGCTCTCTCTCCAGCCCCCAAGGCTGACCGCTCTCTCCCCAGCCCCCGAGAGCCTGATGCAGGCGCTGGAGGACCTGGACTACCTGGCGGCGCTGGACAACGACGGGAACCTGTCGGAGTTCGGGATCATCATGTCCGAGTTTCCCCTGGACCCGCAGCTCTCCAAGTCCATCCTGGCGTCCTGCGAGTTTGATTGTGTGGATGAAATGCTGACCATCGCTGCCATGGTAACAGGTACCCCGGACTCACTTTGTGAATCTGCACGGCTAGATCTTTAGATGGGATCAGGCATTTTAACAGATGAAAAGGTAGAAAATTATAACCATTACCTTCGTGTGAAAAAACCTACATCAGAGCTAGTGAATGTCTTAACCTGGCTGGTGAAAGCACACCAGGTTAGCTTTTGCTGACGGCAGCGCAGATCAAGAAAAATTTGAAGAAAATGTGTCACGAGACATGTTCTTCCCCAAACGATGTGTGCGAGGCTTTATCTCCTGCCCGTTCCCCTGGTCTGCATGCTTGAGGTTAAGCTTCAGCTGCAGACAGACCGAAGGCTGTGCTGCAGGAGAACTGTGTTCTGATCTTGCCCGTCCCCACTCCCGCTGCAGCACAGCCCGAGTGACCAGCAGATAGAAAGACAAACCGAAACAAGGAGACACACATAGGACAGCCCCAGGCCCCTGGATGCCCGAGTAAAAGGGAAAACTGACCGTCGGAATAAGACGCCGCTCCACGCCGAGCTGTGCTGCCCGAACGCCTCCCTCACGCCGCCCTCGCCCCTTTTGTCTCCAAGCTCCCAGCTGCTTCTCGCACCTGCCGCGTGGAGCTGAGGCCGCCGCCCTGGCCTGTTGGAGGCCGTTTCTACACCCCGAAGGCGACCACTTCACCCTCATCAACGTTTACAAGGCCTACCAAGACGCGGCCCTGAGTGCCGCCAGTGAGCGTAAGTGCTGCTCGGTTCCCAGGGTCACCACGGAGCCCTCCTTCCCGGGAAGCTGAGTGAAGGCCGCTCTCCAGCCCCTGGCCACGCCGGGGGGACGGGCTTGAGGCCTCAGGGCACCGCAGGCCTCTCCGAGCAGAGCCCTCCCTCCGGCTCCAGAACTCTGGCAGCTGTAGGCTGTGGGGCTGCGGGGCTGCGGGGCTGCGGGGCTGCGGGGCTGCGGGGCTGCGGGCTGGACCCAGCGCTCAGCTCGGCCACACTAAGGGCGTTGCTGGGGGCAGGATGACGCAGCGAGACTGGCACAGCTCCTGCCCTCTCGATTTGGGGAGAAAACAAGGAACTGCCATTGCAGGCGCCCTGGGTCACAGCTGTGCTCCCTGCTGTCCGCAGCCTGGCACATCCCCGCTGGACGGCCCACCTTGCTGTGTGTGTGTGTGTGTGTGTGTCCCGCACGCACCCATGTGACCCCTCAGGCCCGGGAAGCAGAGAGCACCTTCCTGGCCAGGCCCCTGCAGACCCACCCTCGATCCTGACCCGTGCCCTCCCCCAGACTGTGTGGAGAAGTGGTGCCAGGACCGCTTCCTGAGCTGCGCCGCCCTGAGGATGGCGGACGCCATCCGCGCCGAGCTGGTGGAGACCGTCCGGCGGATCGAGCTGCCCTACGCAGAGCCCGCGTTCGGCTCCCGGGAGAACACGCTCAACATCAAGAAGGCCCTGCTGTCCGGCTTCTTCATGCAGGTGAGGGCCACGGGGCTGACCCCAGGCAGGCCTGCAGGAGCCTCCGGTGACCACTTCACTGAGGCTCACTAAAGCAACGAGCCCTGATGCGCCTTCGTATTTACGTCCTTCCCCGCGGGCGTGACGGGCTGAGCCAGAACAGCACCCCTGTCCACGGGGGCGGGGGAGGGCGGGCCGGCTCTGAACTGCTGGCGAACTCGCTCACATTCAGGGGTGGCTAATGCCCAGCAAACAGAAAGCGCCTCCTTCGCTGCTCCTCGTGGAGGCTAACAGCACGCCAGAGAAGCGGGCTGACTCCCCGCACCCACTGAGCCTCCTGGAGGCAGCGTCTCAGCGCGGAGGGCCTCGCCCCCGCGGAGGTCAGGCCTGGCTCTGGGTCTGAGGACTAGCCAGCGAGGCCACTGTGCGCGTGCTCACGCAGACATCGCCGCTGCAGCGCCCCACCGCGGGCCGGACGTCAGCGCTGCTGTCTCACTCCGGGTCTGGAAGCAGGAAGCAGGGTGGGCTCTGCTCTGGGGCCCGGGAGGAAAGGACCCTTTGGGGTTGTTGACCAAGCACAGCACAGAGTGCTGCTCTCCACAGTAACGTCTCTCCTAGATCGCTCGGGACGTGGACGGGTCGGGCAACTACCTGATGCTGACGCACAAGCAGGTGGCGCAGCTGCACCCGCTGTCCAGCTACGCGCTCGGCGGGAAGACGCCCGAGTGGGTCCTCTTCCACAAGTTCAGCCTCTGCGAGAACAACTACATCCGGGTCACCTCCGAGACCTCCCCGGAGCTGTGCGTCTCAGGGATGGGCTCCTACTGCGTTAGGCTCCGTCACAGGAGTTTCTGATCCCCAGGCAGGCCTGCCTCCAGGCTGCAGCAGAGGCTCCGTTACGTAAACACAAAGCGGGATGCCTCTGACCGGAACGAGTGCTGCGGGGGACCCCGCAGGGCCAGGCCTGATGAGCCACGGAGCCGAGTTGAGGCGGAGGGCCGGGAGAGGGGGACTGAAGCCAGGCAGCGGCCCGAGAGGTGGTGCCTGTGGCCACAGGGTCGGGGTTAGGCCGAGGGCAGCACTGCAGCAGCTGGAGGGTAAGGGTGCCAGCTCATGCACGGGAAGACCCTCCGGCTGCCGAGAACGGTGTGGGGGGCGGGGCAGTGTGAGAGGCAGACTGGCCTCCCAGAGGCTGGCACAGTGCGGTCGGTCCTGAAGGTCCCTCCACCACGTGGGCAGCGGGCGCTCTGGCAGGAACCCAGGGAAAGCAAGAGCTGTCCACTCAGCTGGCCGTGGAGCGCTGAGTAGGAAGAGGGAGAGGCGAAGGCCCTCCCAGAGGCCAGGCCTCAGAGCATCAGGTGGGACCCTTCGCACCGGGGGTCGGAGGGGCAGTGCAGATCCCCGGTGTCAGAGGGCGGCCTAACGTGGAGAAGCCAGCTGCCCGGGAAGTGCTAGTGGGCTGGTTCCACAAGATCAGCAGCCAGGGCAGAAGGAGCCACGCTAACGCCAGCCTGTGGCTGCTGCAGGGGAGGGGGAGGCGAGCTCGCTGTCTCCCGCCAACAGCGCCGTTTCTGTGGGCACAGGTTCATGCAGCTGGCGCCGCAGTACTACTTCAGCAACCTGCCCCCCAGCGAGAGCAAGGACCTCCTGCAGCAAGCCACGGACCGCCTGGCCGCTGCCGCCAAAGGGGAGCAGCCGCCGAGCGAGAAGTGCCCCGAGACTACTGAGCAGAGGTGCGTCCTGCAGTGACGCCCGGCCCTCCCAGAGCCCCGGCCTGCGGGTGGCGCCGGCAGCACTCAGGGAGGACGGCCTCCCAGCCGCACAAGAGCGTCTTGAAACAAACGGACACTTTGTATATTATTTAAAAATAAAATATAGAAGTTTTTATTGAGTTCTTTAAATTACTACTCCACGTTTTTCTTCTCATGGGGAAGGTTTTTAACCCACCATTCATAATTTGACCAGAAATGTTAAACACTATTTTGTGACTGTGTCACAGACACAGGCCACAGGACCCTACTTTGTGCAGAAAAGCTAAATCTCAGTCTGGAGTTTGTCGGTGAAGCTCCTGGGTGTTCTGTGGTTGCACAAGCACCCCCGCGGGGAGCGGCTAGACAGACAGGTGTTCCTCCAGCGCGGCCATGACCTCGCCCATCCGGTCACACGGCACCAGCATCACGGTACGCAGCGGCTGCATCGGGACATCGTCGAAGGACCACCGGCCGCCCAGACAGGAGTCGCTCTCCTCCTGCACCGAGTAGCTGAACCGCAGGGCCGCCTTCTGAACCACAAACACGGGGAGTGAGCCACCCGCATGCAGTCAGCAGCAAAGAATACTGTCTGCCACGTTTCCATAGGAACGGGCTGGAGGAAGCCGAAGGGACACTCGCCAGCAGTGGGTGACACCGAGCCATCACCCCTCACACCGTCTACCCCTCTGAAGCCACTCACAGTCACCCCCCGTGACAGGGACGGCAACAGGCACAGCACTGGGCAGCTGACAGAAAACCCTGCAAACGCAGGCCTTCCCCACTGCCCAGCGGCCTCCTTGGCAGAGCTGCTGGGGTGAGGGGAAGCGTGCAGAGCCGGCCGTGTGCCACCACCACACACCCCGAAAGGCTGGCACAGCCTCCACGCTTCAGTCCCCGTCTCCTTCCGGAAGCACCCGCAGTGCGGCCAGTGCTGACCGGAGTCTCCAGAGAAATGCGGGCGGCGGCCATCCCAGGAGCAGGCCCTCCTCGGAGGTTTACTCCTGGGGAGGGCTGCACGGGGGAGGATGTGCTCCATGTGGCTGGCCATCGCGCACAAGCACCTTTCCAGGAAAGAAAGTGCTAGAAACCCACTAACGGGATGACATCCAGGACGAGGGGCAGAGCGGCACGGGAGTCAGACGAGGTCCACCCGGTGGGCTGGGACCTCAACTGACGCCTCTGTCCCTCAGATTCCATGTCCACCTGGAGCCAGGCTGACCCTGCCTCCCGGGTTTGGGAGCACAGCTCTCCCAGCGCATTGCCAACGCCTGGTCCCTCCCGCAGGTGCGGGGTTTCCCTCACACACTCACCACCAACAGGGGCTGGCGGCAATGGCTGTGCGAACCCAGCGCGCGCCCGGCACTGGGAGCTGCCGGCAGGGGGATGTGGAGGAGAACAGGGCCACGCTCAGAAGTGATAGAAAATGGGAGAGTCCTTACTGTCAAGAAAATCCCCATATACAGGGAACCTTGGTTCTCAAACCTAATTTGTTCTGGAAGGCTGTTCAAGAAGCGATTTGTTTGAAAACCAAGTCAGCAAAAGCAAAACACACACATTCCCAGCACCATTCCCTGAAATGTTAACAAGGTGGGTTTAGCAGTGAACTCACTCTCTCCCCTTTGTCCCCTGAGACACACACTGATCACATCGGCATGAAAGGGTTGCTTGTTGAGAACCGAAATGAGAACAGGAGGTTCCACCTAAACAAACACAGTGAACAAGCATCTTACCTCGTAGAAAAATTCTTCCTCTGCATTTGTAAACATTAACTCATCTTTCTTTTGGCTGCTCTGGTTCTTTTTGGAATTGTTTTTTCCTGCTTCCGCAAACGTCTTGCTGATCAGAAGGTAGAAGTGACACTTCCCACACGGCTTGTTGGTCTTGTGTGCCTCCGCCAGCTCTTTTCTACGAGACACACACAGGTCTGCTGCCGGCCAGGCGACATCAGCCCAGCCACCCCCAGGCCCGGGGGAGCGGGACGCCTGGCAGGGCTGCTGGGACCGCGCACAGCAGTGCGTTTCAGTTCTGCCGCCTGCACTCTGGATCGTTCTAACAGTGCTTCATCAAGAACAGGGTGACGAGTCGCTCAGATTAGGCTCTGAGCTGTCAGCAGATGTCTCCGATTTCTCAACCTCACCGCTCTGTGCACAAGTTAAAGACACTAAGAACCTCGAGTTTTAAAACAGCAAACATGGGACTGAAACACACAAAGGCCATGGCCACTCCCAATGCCACGGGAGCCTGGGTCTGCTCAGTCTCCAATCACGAGTCCAGGACTAACCGCTCACGCTGCAGAAGCCACACTGCAGACACCCTAGCTCTGCAGTCAGCCCCACAGCAGTGAAGCCTCCGTTTCCTTCCTGAAAAGTAGGCATCATCCTGTGCACCCGGCAAACAAAAACAAGGGAACGCACAGTAGCCACTCAGCTTCCTCTCCCGGAGGATCAGGAGAAGGCGGCCACCGCCGGGAAATCAGAGAAATGTGAGCTCCCGCTGATCAGGAAAACAAACCCACTTCGGAGATTGGGGGGAGGGGAGGAATCTATTTAAACCCCAATATGCAAATAGACCGAACAGCGGAACGACCAGTTGCTATGATGCTCACTGACCACCAGGGGCCAGACACAGGCGCTGAGTTTCATTCCCAATGAAATTGAGGAATTTTGTTACTGTTGTAATTATTCAGTATTTTTCACGTTAATCTACCCATGAAAAAGGTGAAAAACTAGTCAAATAGGAGTGAAAAGTTTACATGAGACTCACCTACTTGAATGCCACTGAAATCTTTAAGGTTACGAAGACTTGTCAGAACAGCCTTTTCGAACAGAAAAGCCGATAACGACCCTGCGCAGCTCCGGACGAGCACTCGCGCCCACCCCCGGCCGCCCAGCCCAGGGCGGGCTCCACACCCTCTCCGTGCCCCATTCCTGACCCCGGGGAGCCGGGCTTACTGGAGCTGGCGGTGCAGGGGCAGCGCGATCTGCGCGGGGACATTGACGAAGCGCTCGCTCAGGAGCAGGCCCACGGGCCGGGAGCTGTCGCTGAGGAGCCTGTCCAGCTGCTCCACCACGCTCTTCTCACAGCTCTTCGCACAGCCGCGCAGAGCCAGCGCTTTGATCTGCTCGGCACACGGGGTCCCCTGAAAGCAGAGACGGCGCTGACCACAGGCCATCGCTTCCCGCGGAAGCCCGACAGGGAGCACCGCCTGCCCACAGGAGGGCAGTTCTGTCCCAGCCTGTGCTTGAGGCCACTGTGCCTGGTGTAACTGCCCATGACGGTGGTGAGAGGGCCGGGGTGAGCTAGTGCACCTCACAGGTGGCGGCGGGAACTGCAAGCTCATTTAAAGCAGAGTGCAGCCTGCGCCCCGTGAGGAGGGGAAGCAGCTGGGATCCCTTTTCCCTGGATCAGCAGAGAGCAGGAAAGAGCGATGAGCGCCAACTCTGTGACTGTCCGTGTCAGCAGCGCCCTCTCCTTGGCCGGGGAGGGGAGGGGGGCAGACCAGCCACGGGTCAGCCCGGCAGGCGGGGGACTCTACACACAGGAGGAAGGGCTTGAACTGGCACACACCAGTCAAAACTAACGCCTCCGCTGGCCGGAGTGGCTCAGGGGTTGAATGTTGACCTAGGAACCAGGAGGTCATGGTTTGATTCCCGGTCGGGGCACAGGCCCAGCGTGGGGCGTGCAGGAGGCAGCCGACTCATGATTCTCTCTCATCACTGATGTTTCTAGCTCGCTCTCCCACTCTCTTCCTCTGAATAAGAATATTTTTTAAAAACATAAAAAATCACCTTCACTTGAAAACAGGTTGCAGTGAGACTTAGCAAGAGCACACGCCCTTACCACACTGTCAGGCAGGACAGAAACCTCATGTGTTACAGGCGGGGCGGCCTCGGGGGACCGCCCAGGTGCCCGGGGGACCCACCTTGCGTTCGGTTAGATTGAGAAGGCTTATGAAACCAAAAACCTCATCTCCGTCCACGTCGTCGTCACTGTCTTCCGAAACATCCGTTTGCTGTTTTAAAAAGAAAAGTGTTTGATTTACACTTGGTTGGGAAAAACAGAACACCACGCCTGGAATCTAGCCTCATTCCTCTGTTTAAACAACTGTCTTATCACTGTCACCAGAAAAGCACCATGGGTAACGGCAGTGTGGCCCTGTGCCTCCGATTCCATACTCTTTCCACACTGGGCGTGACCTCTCCTGCCCTAACGGATACGAGGCTTTACTAAATTCTCAACATATTACAACCCAGAACAGCTAATGCCTCACCGAAGTGAGGCTCCTAAGAAGGTGACCGATGCCCGGGGGGCGCTTATTCTCAGGCAGAGACAGAGAGGCGAGAACGAAATGGCAAATTCAGAGAACAGCTAATGAAAAGCGTGGCTGCCCCTGAACGTGGCTTAGATGCACCAAACGCTCCTCTTCCAAGACCGACCTGCTCAGCCTCGTCCAACACGGAAGGTCCCGGCAGGAAATGGAGTCGACAATGAGCTGGGCAAAGGGGTGGGCACAGGACCACACCAGTGACAGCTCCACACGGAGCGCCAGCCATGTACCACACAGCTCTAAGCACTTACACTCAGCTACTCCCTGCGTCCACTTCCCACCCTACAAGGTGGGCACACGCATCATCTGTGTCAGACTGACAGCGGCACAGAAGGTCATGACCGCCTGTACTTCCCAGAGGGCCACAAGGACATTGCCTATCCCTCCTTGTCGGACAGTGACCCACACGCTCCTCCCGTCAAGAGGTGGGGGGGGGGTCTATGCGCCCTCTCCTGGAACCCTCCCCGGGACTTCCTGTCTTCAAAAACTCCCAAGCCTCCAGCTGCTGTGCAATAGCTCATTTGCATTGTCACAGGCAAATCACAACTCGAAATGTACCAGTCCGCACCCAGGTTCCCTCCCAACCCACCGTCCTCCATGTGCTGTCCTGGTTGCTTAGCCAGACCCTCGGAGTCATGCCTGACTCCCTTCCCCTCCCCCAGCCCATCATATTTCACCTCCCAAATGCCTTCTGAACCAGCCCACTTCTCTCCCTCTCCACCGCCACCCACCTCATAACCCAGTCCTCCTGCTCCGTGCCGACTGAGGCATCCGGCCGGCCGGCTATTCACCAGGAAAAAGAACCAATTTAATGAGAATGAGCGCAGCCGCCTGCTGACCTTAATCACACTCCCGATGTGGTTCTGCTGGATTAAGAGCTCTGTCAGCTCTGCAGTGTTGACAGGTGCCTTTAGGAAAAGCTAAGAGAAAAACATGATTTTAAATTAAAGTCAGAGTGCGAGACCTAAAAATACTCCTAACTTCCATGTTCAAATAAAAACCATGAAACGCCAATGACCTGACCAGGAAGGTGACTAGGACACTAAAGCTCTCTCACGTGTGGGGCAAGGAAAACGGAGCAGCAGCAGGTGCTGCCGGGATTGACTTCCACGGAAGAATTCCTCTCCTGAGAGAGCCGGGACGTGACTTAGGACGAGACAGAACAGTGGTCAAGTACAGCAGCTGCCAGTGTGGCAGGAGGAGGAACATGAAACAGGTCCATGGAGGAAGGGGCTGGGAGCAGAAGCACAGAGAGGCCTTCCCTCTGGGCCGGGGCTGGGGCCGGGGGAGGGGAAGAGAGGACGGGAAGGGAATTAAAGCAGAGAGGAGCGAGCTGACGGAGCGGTGCTGGCGGGCCTGGATTTTCTCAGAAGAGCGAGTTTGTGCATGAAGAGTACAAAGCAGTACCTGCTGCAGCAATCTCTTAATTCCGTCATAATCGCTGTCTGAGATGGAGTAAGCTTCAAACTCAACGTTCACTTCCTGTAAATAACACACAAACTGGTCATCACACAGAACTCTCTAAGGACGTCAGGCATTCTGTGCCCCTGCAGATGTCCTTCTCCCGCTACCTCCATCCTTCTGGCTCTAACGCGCACAAATCCCAAAGCCCCTCAGCCCTGTTCACAAAGGCGGAAGAACAAGACACTGGCCAGGGTTCCGGGTGAGAGCAGCCACGCAGGAGCGCTCACCGCCGGCCACAGGGGACCCGCACAGGACCACCTCACAGGCCTGCACCGCCTGCGCCCCATCCCAGCCATTCACCTGCCAGATACACCGCCTGGCACACCGCGCACCACGCACTGTGCCCGGCGCTCAGGTGACCAGGTGAGGACGTGAAGGACCCTCCCTGCCTTCAGAAAGCCGGGGTGTAGGTGGGAATACAGACGTTAGGGAAATATTCACGTAAACGTACAGCTGCGCCTACACAGCAACTTGGAAACAAGGCCAGGACAGACTTCCCTTGAGAAGCGCCATCTGAGCTGGGAACGGAGGACAGGAGTCCCTGGGGCAGGGGTACAGGGCCCAGAAGGTGTGCAGCTGGGTCCCTGACCTCCATCTGCAGAACCACCAGGACACAATCTGGGTGACCACTGAAATATCCCACAAATAAATAAATGGAAGGATTACTTCACACCACAAACAAAACCCGAGATGCTTTCAAATGCCACACAACATCACCCTGGAGGACCGGGGCTCCGGTGAGAGGTGACTTGCACGCATTTCCGGTTGTGCAGGTCCTGGGACGTGGGTCTTGGCTGACGGAGACCACAGGGGGACAGCAAACTCACTTCCGCCGCCCGTCCTTGTGCACGGGTGTAAGCACCGGGCTAACTGGCCAGCGCCCGAACACAAGATCCTTGTACGGCCCTGGACCCTGGCTCTGAAGTCAGCTCAGCCAGGTCACGTGGCCAGCAAACTAAACCAAACAACTGTCATGACTCGGGTCCGAACGTAGGTATCCCTTTAAAATACTAAACAAACTCCTGTCCGGCTGGCCTTCGTGGTGGAGCATCAACCTGTGGACCAGATCATCCCAGGCCCGGGATGCGGGCTCCATCCCCAGAAGGGGGCGGGCCGGAGGCAGCCCATCCATGGTTCTCTCTCCTCGTGGACGTTCCTCTCTGCCTCTACCTTCCCCTCTGGAACCAATGACACACACGTTTGTTAAAGTAAAGCCCCGAAGGCCATCGCCGTGCCGGGTTTCCTTGGGGACAAGGGGCGGGCCGGGCCGGGTATAACGCCTGAAGTCATTGTGCGGCCGCGGAGTGCAGAGGCCGCAGGGGAACCGAGTGCGCCCTTTACGGCCTGGAAGTCGCTGCCCCGAGCGCCTGCCCCTCCCCGGCCGCGGCTGCCGCGAAGCGCGCTCCCAGCTGGACGCCAAACCGGCGTCGCGGGTGCTGCTCACCTCGCCCACAACCTCGTCTTCATCCTCTTCCTCGTCGCTGTCCCCTTCGTCGTCGTCGTCGTCGTCGTCCTGGTCCTCCGTTTCCTCGTTCTCTTCTTCCTCGTGGCACGGGACCGGGGCGCCGGGCGGCTGCGGGGTCCCACCGCCCACGGCGCGCCGCTTGGGCCTGGACGCCATGCTGCCGCGCTCACTGCGCCTGCGCAGCCCCCGCCCGGGGCGCAGCCGCAGAGATGGGCGGAACCATTGAGCCAGGGGGGTGAGAGGCCGCGTAGAATCTCGGCGCTGAGTCGGCGACAACCACAGCGTCCATGCCGGGTTTTAAAGCCATGGAACCGAAGGTAAAGTCCGGTTCTGGGTCCTATCTTGCCCTTTTCATCCTTTCTCCTCCTTCCTTATCCGCCTCCCCGAGACTCATCCCCCCCTGGGAGCAATGGTTCCGCCCATCTCTGCGGCTGCGCCCCGGACCTGGTGTCGTTGCGCATGCGCGAGCTCCAGCTGTGCGCGCCGCGGGGCCGCGGGCGGTGGAGGCGGTGGTACCCGGCCTGGCGCGGCCGTCGCCATGGCAGCGCAGGCCACGTGGTGAGGGGCCCACCCACCGCTGGTCGCTCTCGTGTCTCACAGCCTCAGATTGGGATCGCGAGACACCGCCCGCCTGGGCGACTTCCTATGCGATCGGCGGGCTGGGCAGGGCCCCAGCTCCCAGACCTTTCGGGCCTCACCAGCCCGGCGAGGTAGGTGTCGCCGCCCAACCTACCCACGAAGACACGAGGCCTCCGGACGTGCGGGGCCCACCCACCTGCCACTGGCGGCGCTAGCGAGTGCAGGACTAGTCGGGGGCGGAACCGAGGCCGCCGGAGGCCTGGGTGTGGGCCGGGGCCCGGGGTAGTGATGGACTCCAAACGGAAGGTCACCGGGTCGTGCAGCTGCCCCCACGCCAGGCCCAGGCCGGACCCTGCGGGCGTCCCCCCCAGCACAGGGGCTCGGCCTAGTCAGGCACTGAATGCCTGCCCCTAGCGGACTTTCCTGAAGCCCATTTCTTGACCTGAAAGGTTCTTGAAAAGCAGGGATGGGCCAGCAATGCTGCAGGGCCAGTAGGGAAATTTGAGAACCGTGGCCAGCAGTGGGGCGTTACAGAAAGGATAGGAAGTACATGAGGCTTAAATATGTATGGACAAATTGTGTTCTTGGTTAGAAAACTCTGAAAGATTACTTCATGATACTGACAACACTTAAAAAGCATCGTTTAAGAAGTAGGAAAGTCGCCCCATCGGTGTGGCTCAGTGGTTGAGCATTAACCTATGAGCTAGGAGGTCATGGTTCAATTCCCAGTCAGGACACATGCATGCCAGGTTGCAGGCTCCATCCCCAGTAGGGGGCGTGCAGGAGGCAGCTGATCAATGATTCTCCCTTACAGATGTTTCTCTTCCTCTCCCTTCCTCTCTGAAATCAATAAAAATATGTCTTTAAAAAGTGGAAAAGTCAATAAGATGACTTCCTAGGGAGCTTACAAGCAAACAACTTAGTATATCTTGAGCTGGAATAATTAATGACTTCCAATGTGAGACACCATTTCCCTCCTTACTCACACAACCCGGATTGGCACCACTTCTCCCGAGCCTGGCGTGTTTGGCCGGGACGCTGGCTCGCCCCGGGCTCTCACCGGCCTTCCACGCTATCAGGTGCCAGCAGCTGTCCCCCGGCCTTATCAGCGACAGGGTCTGCGCAGGAGCCAGCCCGTTCAAGCTGAGTCAGCGGGCAGGGGCCAGGCCACGTCAGCCAGCAGTTGGTTACCTCCCACCCCCACCCCATCCACCCACATGGTCCAGGCAGAGCCTCTGAGGTCTGATTGAGGCCCGTGTCCCCGCTCTGTCACAGCGCCCTGCACGGCCGCCCGGCAGTGATGAAGGTTCTTCTGCTGAAGGAGGCTCACGATGACGGCGGCCAGGATCCCTACATCAGGGTGAGTGCCGGGCCCCAGGAACCGCTCACCGGGAAAGCCGGGCCTAGAACTGCCCTGGGCCCCAGCACCCGCCCTTCCTCCCAGCAGCCCGGCCAACCCAGAGCCGGGCCTTTTGTTCGCAGGAGTTGGGATCGCACGGACTTGAAGCCACTTTGATCCCTGTTCTGTCATTTGAGTTCCTGTCTCTTCCCACCTTCGCGGAGAAGGTAAGGTCTGCAGTGTCTGAGCACCGTAACACGTTTGTTTCTGGAACCCGTGCCAACCCAAGCCCTGTACTTCCCTCCTTCCCCTCACTTTGCTGCCAGCTTCTACACTGGGCAGCACCCACCAGCTCCGGATCCGGCCCCAGAACCGGCTGTGGGTCACCTGAGCCTCCAATGGCTCCCCGCCCTGACCTGGACGCGGCCAGGAGAGCAGGTCATGGGAGGGCGCTGCTCGCAGTTCAGACCTGGCACACGAGAGGCAGGGTTGAGGCTCAAGACCAGTACGTGTGCCCACAGCCTCGGCTCTGCTGCCTGGGGTAGGAGGGGCCGCACTGCCCAGGCCAGTGGAGACAGGTGTTTCAGGTTAAAGATGCGGTGCCCACGGCTCCACACCCCTCCGCACAGGCCCACCCTATTGTAAAGCCTCCCTGCTCCCTCGTTCAGTCAGAGCTGAACATCCACCGTTCACTGACCTCAGAGACAGCGAGGGGCCGGCCACGTCCCGTGCCCTGGGCTCCTGTGCGAGGGCCCTGTTGGCTTGCTTTTCCACAGCCAGCTTTAAACGGGAGCCAGGCTTCTCATGTGAGATCACTTCTAGGACCTCAAGGTCAGAAAAGCCCTCGTTTCTTCAGCAGCTTCTCCACCATCACCACCGGCCAGGCTGCCGTGAGGGAGAGGGTTCCAGACACGCAGGGAGCAGTCTCAGCTGCTCCCTAGCCCCCGCCTCTGAGTTTAATCCAAGGGGGAGCACAGCCCCATCCCCGGCCCTGCACAGACTCACGTCACCGGAGGTGCGCACAGCAGCCCGGGCCTGCTCCCAGAAGATTTTGTAACCATTGTCTGAAAATCAGCTTCAGCCTGGCCACCACCCCAGTAGATAGTTCAGTTTTATTAGACACAGGTCAAGTCTGCCCTCAGCCTGCACCCCTTGCTAGGCCGCGTCCCAGTGCCCCTCTGGTCCAGTTACACCCACACCCTACGTATACCTGTCTCTCCTCGACCCTGAGCCGCTTGAGGGAGATGCTAGGAATAAGGAATTTGCCTAGAATAGGGCCAGGCACACACATCACTCAGTAAGTGTTGAGTGGGAGGGTGGGAGGGTGGCTGGATGGATGGACGTTGGATGGACAGAATGAATTAGTTTGCCCACCATTCGCGTGAGCATTTGGAATTCTGGGTAATGTCGCGGTCATCACAAAGTGCCTTTGGGTTTGGTATGCAGCTGTCACACCCCGAAGGCTACGGAGGGCTCATTTTCACCAGCCCCAGGGCAGTGGAAGCGGTGAAGCTGAGCCTGGAGCCGGATGGGAAGAGCGAAGGTGAGGGCGGGGCCGGGAATGCGCTGGCTCACGTCACCGATTCCTCCCGTTGGCCATACTAGATTCCGGAAGCCAGGTTTGGAAACTGCGGGGCCCTCAGCTCTAGGGTAGTTAGGTGCCGAGTTGTTCATGTGTGTGTAGCCATGGAGGGAGCGTTTCTTGCTGTCCCACGCAGGCCACCTCAACCCCTGAGCCTTCAGACCGAGCCACCACCTTGGTCTGTCCAATGGAACGCTCCCGCTAACATTTACGGAGTGCCTACTGTATACAGGCTCCGTCACTGTGCAGTCATTGTCCCCTCTAACCCAGGGCACACATCCTGTGGTTTACAGAGGAGAAGACTGAAGCTTGGCAAGAGTGAGCACTAGTCCACGGCCATGGAGCCAGTCAGCCAGGCCCGGCCAGCTCGCTCTAGTGCTGAGTGGAGGCAGCTGGGTGGTGCTTACCCACAGGGCTTGCAGGGAGCTGGGCCTGGGTTCAGGGGTCACTCGGATCTTGGAGAGTCCCTTGACCTCACTGAGCCTGTTTCCTTGTTGTGAAGAGGCCCAAGGATGCAGCATCATTGGCTCATCACGTACACTTGAGCAAGCTAGGACTCGTGGTTGGCCCTGTGCCTGCAGGTGTGACCAGGCCCTGTGCCTGCAGGTGTGAACAGTTCCCGTGCCTGCAGGTGTGAACAGTGTAATGGCGGGGATGGGGGTAGTTTGGGATGCTGCTCTTTAGGTCTGTGTACTATAGGCTGCCTTGCTCACAAGCTGTAGGATGAACAGGCGCTGGTCTTTGCCACACACGTGTGACCTCATGTCTTCCAGTCTGGAAAAAGTCTCTGCGAGAAAAGTGGAACGCAAAGCCGGTGTATGTGGTTGGAAATGCCACGGCTTCTCTAGGTAAGCAATCTAGGTAAGGCAGAAATAACACCGAAACCATGCCGTGGTGTTGTGATTCATAGCAATACAGGGTGCCCCCCAAAAAGGTACACACCTCACAGCCGAGCACTCTGTGTTGGAGATGAAACGTATTTTAACAAGCACTGCCTTTGTAGCTGCTCACAGGCGTGTTTTGGGACAGACACCCTGTACATGGAGTCTTCATCCCTGTTCCTGCACAGAGCCCCCAAAACCTGATGTTTCCAGGTGATGAGCATGAGGTGTCTGGTTATTGGTAACAAACCTCCTGCACCTCCACCCAGTTCACTCTGATGCGCTGACTTCTGAAGGCCCTGGCGCTGGGCAGGTGGTCGCCAGGGAGACACAGCCAGGTGGGGCCGGTGACAGCCTGTGGTTAGAGCAGGGACGTTCAGCTCCCGCTCCAGGGAGAAGCGCGGGGCGTCCTGTGGTGCCAGCGGGGGTGCCAGCTGTGCTGTGCAGACCTGCGTCCCCGTTGAAGTTCTCAAGGTTCTGGGTGCACTGAGCCCGTCCCGACCCACAGGGGGCGGCGCCGCAGCACAGGCAGGCCTGGCCCCGGGACAGGCACGGCGGCTGTGACCTCCTGGGCTCACGCTGCTCGCGATGTACACGAAAGGCTGCCGGGTTGACTGACGTGTTGACCTTAGCGGCAGCTCGGTATTCACCAGGCTCCTGTGAGCACCTCCCTTCTCAGAGACGGTCCACATTCCTCCTGACCCGCCCGGCCCAGCCTCCTCACCGGTGACCAGTGCTCCGCCGGGATGGGCTGCAGCCACAGGAGGCTCACGAAAGTGGGGGGCACAGCCCTCCCCTAAATCACCTGCAGGCCTGCCAGCTAGTGGGCACCTCCCTCCCTCCCGCCCGCCGCCTCATTCCCGCCACAGCCCGCACCTTCCCGGAGGGGCTGGCCTGGCTCCCCCCGAGGAGGGCGCCTCCACCCCTGGCCCAGACCCCCGCCTCCGGAGCTTGCTGCCCTCGCCGGTAGCCCTCAGGCAGCCCTACCCGCTGTCTCCCCGAGGACCCACCTGGCTGTGTCTCCCCGATCCGGGCCTCCCTCCCAGGCCGCGGGGGACTGTGTCTGGGGAGCACACACCTGTGTCCGCACATTGAGGACAGGGCCTGCGCAGCGGGACTCACCGCCATTGAGACGCGTCTGTGTTTGCAGTGAGTAAGCTGGGCCTGGACGCCGAAGGAGCGAGCAGCGGGAACGCGGAGCGGCTGGCGGAGTGGATCTGCTCCGGTGAGTGGGAGGCTCCCACGGGGGCCTCATCTGCCCGCGGGGGCGGGGGCGGGGGCAGGCGGTTCCTTCTCCCCAGTGTGAGCCCCTGGGCCCCGTCTGTGCTGGAGCCCAGCCCGCACTGCTGCCCTGCCCCAGGGACAGGAGCCCGAGCTCAGCGCAGAGCGTGCGGGGCTGGGGCTGGGGCTGGGGCTGGAGGGGGGAGGTGAGGGGCTGGGGCCGGGCGTCCACAGCGCACAGGTGTGTCCGCAGGGGAGCCGCCCGCCCTGCCCCTGCTCTTTCCCTGTGGAGCCCTCAAGGGAGAAGCCCTGCCGCGGATGCTCAGGGACAAAGGTACCGATGGCCCTCCTCCTCGGGAGGGTGAGACCCCTCGGAGCCTGGTCCATCCGCCCACAGTGGGGCCCGGGAGGGCAGTGGCTCATCCAGGAGCACGAGGCCCGGGAGGCCAGCTGGGTGCCCGTGGGCTCCTGACTCAGGCCTCTCCCAGGGCAATAGCTCTGTTTCCGGTTTTGGTCGTGTCCAGGGATCCCCATGGAAAGCATCGTGGTCTATCAGAAGGTCCCCCACCCGGGAATCCAAAGGAACCTGGACAGCTACTACTCCGAGCAGGTGGGCGCCGTTCCGGGGAGCGGGGGCAGGCGGGCACCTGGTGGGGCAGGTGGGGTCGCTTCCAGGGAGTGCGGGCAGGTGGGCACCCTGGGAGGCAGCAGAGAGGCGGCGAGGCATGGCCTCTGTGTGGTTCCCTCCCGGCTGGCCGAGGCCTCGCAGGGGCTTCTCCCGGTCCGGGAGCTGGAACAGACCATCCGGTGGGTCCACGGGGCTAAAGGAGACAGACCTGGCCTGGAAGCCTGAGACAGGCTTGGAGCTGTCGGGGAGGGGCTGGGAGTCGGGGAGGGGCTGGGAGTCCGGGTGGCTGGGCAGCCGGGAGAGGGCGTGCGCCCTGCGAGGGGAGGGACGTTTCCACGCCCAGATTCAGCAGCGCCTTGCAGGTTCCAGGCACGGTTAGCTCCCCCAGCACAGGAGGCCTGGACTGCCTGCTGTCCGCTTCGTTTCCGGGAGGGAGGGGGCTGCTGGCCGGTCACAGGCTCCATGCTGCCTTGATGGGTGCGGGCACCCTTGGCCTGGCATTAGGCCTGGGCCACAGAGGACCCGGAGCTGTGCCAGCCCCTCGTCTCAGCTCCTCTCCTTGGAGGAGCTGGGCCAGCACCCATGGGGGGCCCGGCCCGCCTGCTGGGGGCTGCCTGGCTGCCTGGGGCCTGCCTTGGGGTTGGGGTCCCTGGGGTTGAGCTGGGGGTGTCTCTCTCTCTCTCTCTCTCTCTCTCTCTCTCTCTCTCTCTCTCGGCACCACTCGAGTCACTGCTCTTGTTCTCCCCATAGGGCATCCCGGCCAGCATCACGTTTTTCAGCCCCTCTGGCCTCACATACAGCCTCGGGCACATTCGGGAGCTATCTGGGAGCAGCATCGATCGGATCAAGGTGAGGCACTCCATGCTCTTGGTCTTTCTCGGAGTTAAACTTTTTTTTACTAATTGTCTTGCGCTTCCACCGGAAGTGCAAGCTCTCCCGACCTGAGATGCCCGCAAGGCCCCGTGGACCCCCTGGGAGGCAGGGCTGTAGGACCCCAGCCCAGCTCCGAGCCCAGCAGCGCCCCTTCCTGGCTGGGCGGTGGGACAGCTCACCAGCCTGAGCCCAGTTCCGCATTTGGCTCCAGTGTTAGCGTCCCATCCCCTCTTCCTTTTTTTTTTTTTTTTTTTTAATGTATTTTATTGATTTTTCACAGAAAGGAAGGGAGAGAGATAGAGAGCTAGAAACATTGGCCAGTTGCCTCCTGCACACCCCCTATTGAGGATGTGCCCGCAACCAAGGTACATGCCCTTGACCGGAATGGAACCTGGGACCTTCCAGTCCACAGACCAACGCTCTATCCACTGAGCCAAACCAGTTTCGGCCCCCTCTTCCTTCTAAACATCGGAGACGAGCTGGTCCGGGCGCCCCTCCCCTCTCGTGTCTCCCAGTGAAAGGACAGCGCCCGCTCCGGGGACTAGCCCGATGGCCCTGCAGGTCCTCCACCTCGGGGCCTGCCGGGGCTGGAGGTGCTGGCCTGAGGCGGCTGGGGTGTGGCTGAGCTAGAGGACAGACGTCAGCATTGCTGGCCTCCCCAGTGAGAATGGAAGCCTTTCCCCTCCAGCGCCCCTGTCCCCGTACACTCTGTTCTGAGTTCCCCTGACCCCACCCAGGGCCTCCAGGCCTCAGGGCTGAGCCATGGGGTCCCCCTGCTGAGACCTTGTGCTGCCCAGCAGGACCCGCTGGGCTGGTGGGAGGCTGTGATGACACACGGGGAGGCACTGGGATGGTCTGTCGGGGAGTGCTGTCCCTTGTAAGCTCTCCCACGCCGAGAGGGTCCTGCTGGACGGGATGGCCAGTGAGCCCTGCACACCGCGTCCCGGGCGCTGCGGGCGCACTGAGCCCCTCTCTCTGCAGTTCGCAGCCATCGGCCCCACCACCGCGCGCGCCCTGGCCGCCCAGGGCCTGCCCGTGAGCTGCACCGCCGACAGCCCCACGCCCAGAGCCCTGGCCGCGGGCATCCGGACGGCCCTCCAGCCCCACAGCTGCTGAGGACGGGCTGCCCTCCAGCCCCACAGCTGCTGAGGACGGCCGCCTGCAGGGGAGGACGCCCGCCCGGTGCCCAGTGAGCCCCCTGGGCACCGCGATCCGGAGGGGACGTGGCAGCAGCAGGCCTGGCAGGTCACTTCCCTCCACCAAGGCTACGGGGACCCTCACCCAGTGTGCCGGCCCGCCGTCAGAGCGTCCGCCAGCAGCAGGAGGGACGCAGCGACGGGGGGGCGGGCTGTGCACTGTTCCCAGGGTGAGGGCTGTTGGGGAGGACGGATGTGCCCCAGTTCTGAGAAACAACAGCCTGTGGAGTGGCACAGTCCGCTGTGTGTGACCTGGTTCTGTTCATCCCCCGGAGAGAACCCGCTCCGTCCCCTGGCAGGAGACCCCTCCTGCCTTCACTCCCCTCCCCTCCCCTGGAGCCAGAGGAGGAGCTGGCGCCCAGCAGCGCTTTGGGCGGGGGAGGGTGGCAGGTGGCGCTCACTGCCCCCGGCCGTGGTGAACGTCAGCAATGGGAGCCCTGCTCCGGGTCAGCCTCCGCTGTGAGGCTTTGTCCATGGGGACGGAACCTGCTGGTGTGTGACAGGCCCGGTGCCCAGGGGCTGGGCTCTTCCTGCCACCGGAGATGCGTACTCGGGGGGGTTCGGGGCATTGGGCGGAGGACGGGGAGAAACGGGAGCCCTCCGTCCTGATGGCCACCGGCGGGCACCGTCCACAACTCAACTTGGTGATAAGCCTCGTGAGCACATCTCAGGGTGTCCACACAGAACAGCAGCCCCGGTGACCGGATTGCACCCCGGAGCACCCGCCCCCGCCCCCTGGGAAACAGACTGAGCCAGAGCCAGCGTCCCGCCCTCCTGCCCTGAGCGCCTCAGGAGGGGTGGGCGCTCCTGCTGCCCGGAGCAGGGCAGGTCGGCGCCACAGTAACGGATGGGCCATGAGCAGCCGCTCTGGTCAGCGAGCAAACGCTCTGGCTCAGGGCGCTGCTCGGCCTGAGGCTCAGGTTTACCTGGTGGAAGGGCTACCCGACTGGCAAAGCTGAGCCTCGGGTCACTGCCTGGCCCCGGTGGGTGGGCCTGTGCTCGGCGCCCGGGGCCCGGACAGTACAGCCCCTGCCCTCGGGGCCCAACCACCTGCAAAGAACAGCCAGGAGGCAGCTGAGCTCCGCACGGACGTCTGTACTTCACAGTCAGCCCATGGGCATGGCACACGGGCAAGGCACACGGGGGACACGGCATGCGGGGGGCACGGCACACGGAGGGCACAGAACACGGGGGCACAGCACACGAGGGACACAAAACGGGGGCACTGCACACAGCATGGCACACGGTGGGCACAACACGGGGCACAGCACACGGGGCACAGAGCACGGGGGCCACGGAACACGGGGCATGGCACACGGGACGGCACGGCACACGGGGCATGGCACACGGGGGCGCCAGCTCAGGGCAGTCTCTGCATCGGCGCGCTCGGGGCTCCATCCGGCGGGCTGGCCGCGCAGTGCGGGCGGCAGCATCTCAGCACGGCCTTCCACACCCAGCCGCCTGCCTCGGCGGCGGATGCTGCTGATCGTCATAGTTTCCTTCAGAGATTGGACAGAAAGCTCAGGTTCGCTCCGAAGCCCGGGGCACTCAGCTCGGGCAGGGGGATGGCTCCGGCGGTCCTCGGTCCGGCCAGGCTGTGAGGCCCGGGCAGCGGACAGCGCTGACCCTCGCGGCCGCCGGGAACCTCCCTGTGAGCTCAGCCCAGCCCGGGGAAGCGGCCAGGATTCCGTGCTCACCTGCCTCGGCCTTTTTAAGATGTGTTTTTATTGACTTCGGAGAGGGACGGGGAGAGGGAGGAGAAGCTGATGCCCAACCATGGAGCGGCCCAGCCTCTGCCTTTTAAACTTTCCCGCTGTTCCTGAGCTGGTGGAGGGTGCGAGGGGTGTTATTCCCGCTTACCCACGTCACTCACCTCAGGGTGCTGGCCAGCTTGCAGTAGAGACAGAGGAAGCAGCACAGGAGGAAAAAGGAGGAGATCAATAAGGCACCACCGATGGCAATCAAGACCTCCACGTCCACCTTGTCGACCAAGCCTTCAAATCCGAACATGGTTCTGGGCGGAGAAGTGCAGGGCGGTGACCGTGGGTCCCTCCCACCCAGCCAGGCACAGCTCGGGAGGGTCCTTCATGGAGGAGGCGTGACCCCGCCCAGAGGACGGGTCTCCCAGGGCGGCCGAGGGGCCCAGCCTCCCGGCCACACGGGGTAAAGGGTTTGCTCACGGAGGAAAAGGGACCGAAATGCAAAGGCAAAGGAAGGAAACGGACAGACGGAGGGAAGGGCTTTCTCCCTCCCGCAGGCAGTAACGTGCAGCTGGCGGTGAGTAACAAACAGGCCGCACGGGAGCACGTGGTTTCACTCCCCAATCCTGAAACAGGTTCCTTTTCAGAGTCAGGTGCCTCCCTGTACATCAGGCTTAAACATCTTCCGTGGGGATAAGCAAGGGAATGTCTTTTCCCCAAATGCTACGCTGTGCATGCCGAGAGTGTGGAAACCTACTTTGTAAATAATAGGTATCGTAGGAAAACACTTCCATTCTCCCGCTGGCACCTGTGTCATGCCACCTCAGTGTTCGAGGAGATTCTGGAGGCTCCAGCCAAACCCTCCGCCAGGCTCAGGGACGGCAAGTGTCCTGCACGGCCCAGGAGCCAGTTTCTCCAGGAGCCCGTCCCTCACTGTGGAGGGCACACAGCTTCCCCTGCCACGTTTCCTCCTGAATTCAACCAATTTCCTCAAAACCCAACTCACCTGGGATCCGCACTCCGGGTAATCAAACCCTCTGAGCCTGGAAGCCGGTCCGCGCAGAGGCGGGGCCGTGCCGGCGCGAAAGGCACCCCCTGGGACAAGCAGACCGCCCGGCTGGTCGGCACTCGTCCCTGCGTCCAGCCGTCCGGACCCGCATGAGGCCAGCCGCACCGGACGGTGAGGAGGAGGACGCGTCACACACAGAAAGGGCCCTCGGCAGGAGCCACCTCCCCTCTGACCCCGGGCGGCGGCCCGGCAGCCGGCACCGGCCCAGCCGCCGGCAGAGCTCAGACCTGACTCTCAGGAGCGGTCCTCGGCCAGAGCACTCCACGCCACAGGCTCCATCTGTCTCTGCCAGGCCCTCCGGACCCGGCTGTGTGACATCAGCTCGGGAGCCACTCTCCGTCCAGGTTCTGAGTTCTGTTCCGCGGCAGAGTTCCAGCCTCCCAGCAGGCAGGAAGTCTAGCCCAGGGTTCTCCACCTTCCTATCGCCGCGGCCCTTTAATCCAGCTCCTCATGCCACGGTGACCCCCAACCATAACATTATTGTCGTCGCTACTTCATGACTGTCATTTTGCTTCTGTTATGAATCGTAATGTAAGTATCTGTGTTTTCCGATGGTCTCAGGCGACCTCTGTGAAAGGGTCGTTCGACCTCCAAAGGGGTCGCGACCCACAGGTTGAGAACGGCTGATCTAGACACTGTTTTGAATAATGTCCTAAGTCTTGCACCTTCCCAGGTGTCTGTTTCCCTGGAGAAAACACTTGGGGTTTGTTTTCTAATTAAAACAGTTTGAGATCTCAGTTTTTAAAAAGGAGCGAGAACCCAGTGAAGCGGGGAAAGGAGCAATGCCCTCACACCGAGAACGCTGCTGTGTCAGCCGCACTCCGCAGTGAAACTGTGCAGCATCCATGTCCCCTCACATTGATGCCCCTCTCTCCCCCTTCCTCGCTCTCCAAAATCAACAAAAATTAAAAATAAAAACAGCCCAGCAGGCGTAGCTCAGTGCTTGAGCGTCAACCTATGAACCAGGAAGACATGGTTCAATTCCAGGTCAGGGTTGCATGTTTGATCCCCAGTGAGGGGCATACAAGAGGCAGCTGATCCATGATTCTCTCATCACTGATGGTTTCTCTCTGTCCCTGAAAATCCATTACACACACACACACACACACACACACACACACACACTAGAAGCCCAATGCATGAAAATTCGTGCACTCAGGGAGGGTGCACCCTCTCACAGTCCAGGCGCCCTTGGGGGATGTCCACCTGCCAGTTTAGGCCCGCTCCCCGGGGTTCCAGCTAAGCTGGCAGTCAGACATCCCTCTGGCAGCCTGGGTGCCCTGGTGGGATGCCCAACTGATGGGCCTAAGCTGCAGTCGGACAGCCTCAGTGCTGCTGCAGTGGTGGGAGAGGCTGCCTCTGCTGCTGGGCTCACAGCCGTCAGCCGGGCTTTGGCTGAGTGGTGCTCCCCCTGTGGAAGCTTCCCCCTGGTGGTCAGTGTGCATCATAGCAACTGGTGGTTCCTGGTGGTTCCAAGTTAGGGTCAGTTTGCGTATTATCCTGTTATTATATAGGATTATTCTATAGGATTGTATAGGACACCCATCTTCAGGTGAGGATTAAAAAAAATCCAGAACCCATAGAAAGGACCCCGTGTTGCCATTACCTGGGATGATACACCTGTCTTCATGAACACGGGAAGATGACGTGCTGCTCCACTGAGCTTACATAGAATAAAACAGAACACGTGACTCACACAAAACTGCACACAGGTGCTTCTCTGCGTGCACACATGCATCCACCCGAAGGATGTTCCCGAAACGCTGCCGTCTGTCAAGGCGCCCTTCGTTCTCAGTACTTTCAAAACTCCACCTCCCATGCTGAGGCGTTCCTTTCGGAAAGAGGAACAGAGCAGTAAGAAAAAGCTGGTAAACAAACTAAAACCTCCCTCCCAGAAAAGGACCCAAACTCGGGCTGCCAAGTGCAGCGCAGGGACCGGCTGTGGTGCCAGGTGGTCACTTTGTAAATTATGTGTCTGGCCACTGTGCTGCACACCGGAAACTAATAGAATATCGAATGTCCACTGTAATTGACAAATAAAAAAAGGTAAAAAAATTAAAAGGCAATTTCCACTCTAAAAAAATAAATCCCAAACGACAAGCAAACGCATGGTGCTGGGCTCACCGCGGCGCAGTTCGGAGGCGGGTGGCGGGTGTTGCGCCTCGGCCCCAGGCCCATGGACACACGTCGCCAGGGAAGCGCCATCGCAGGCGGCTGCGAGCTGGCGGTGGAATGACCGGACTGGCCCCGAGCGGGGAGGGTCGCACCCCCGCGAGAGGGGCGGGCGGGTCCTCACGGGCGGGCGGCACGCTTGGCGCCGGGGTGCGAGGGCGGGGCCCGGAGGGGGCGCGGGCGGGGCCGGGCGCGGCCAGGGCCCGGGGCTCCGCCGCCTACAAGAGCTCCGGCCTCCCGGAGGGAGACGCACGCAGCGCAGGCGGACGGCTCCAGCCGGCCATGCTCGCGGCCTCCATCCTCCGCCCCGCGCTGCTGCTCTGCTGGCTCCGCGCCGCCCGCCCGGAGGCGCTCTTCCACAGCCGCGACCGCTCCGACCGGGCGCCCGCCCCGCTGCGCCGCGCCCCGCCCATCGCCGGCCTCCCCGCCGCGCAGGTAGGGAGCCGGGACCAGGACCACGCACATGCGCACACGCGCACACAGGCGCACCTGCACGCATACAGGTATGCACATGCACATGCACACGCCCGCAGGTGTGCACGGTCACTGGTGCGCACTCACACGTGTGCACACGCCTTCCAGGTGCTGGGCCTGGGACGCTGCCCAGCACAGGCAAACACACAACGTGGTAACATGGAAACCGCCAGCACACCGGCCTGTGCAGCTGGGAACAGGGAACATGCGGTGCAGTCCGCCCGCTGACCAGAGGTTCTCTCCGCAGCGGTTCCTGTCCAAATACGGCTGGGCCCCGGGGCCCCCGGGGGCAGGTCCCCGCCGCGATGGGCCGCCCGAGGGCCCCCAGGGCGCCGCCCTGGCCCAGGCTCTGCGCCGGTTCCAGGAGGTCAACGCGCTGCCGGCCAGCGGGCGGCTGGACGCGGCCACCCTGGCGGCCATGAACCGGCCCCGCTGCGGCGTCCCCGACACGCGGCCCCCGCTGCCGGCCGCGAGCGCCGCCCCCCGGGCCCCGCCCCCCCCGCCGGGCCCCCGGCCCAAGGCCCGGCCCAAGCGCTTCCTGCACCTGCTGCTGGCGGCGCCTCCGGGCCCGCACCCCCAGGACGAGGGCGCCGCGCGGGCCGGGGGCGCCCAGGCCTTCGCCAAGAGGACCCTGAGCTGGAGGCTGCTGGGCGAGGGCTACAGCCGCCAGCTGCCCGCCGACCAGCAGAGGCACGTCCTCCGCCTGGCCTTCCGCATGTGGAGCGAGGTGACCCCCCTGACCTTCCGGGAGGACCCCGGCCCGGGCGCCTCGGCGGACATAAAGCTGGGGTTTGGACGAGGTGAGGGCGAAGGCGGGGCGCCCTGCCTACCTGTCCTCCCAGCTGGCAGGCAGCTGAGGCGGGACCTCAGCATAACGGGAACTCGGGGTCACACAGACGGGCTCAGGAACCCCACCCTGGCCTCCAACCCGCTGCCTGGCTGTTGTGAGATGGCACCTGGGGCCACAGTGTGAGCCTCTGTGGATGTGGCTTCATTACAACTCACTGGGAAGGGCTGGTGTATCCCCCTGCACAGCCTGAGGGTCTCATGGGGACAGGTCAGGGTGGGCCAGCCGGGACGTGGGCTTGGCGGGCGGGCTCCTCGGGGCGCAGGACACATGGCCTGTTTCCCCCCAGCCGCCCCCCCCACCCCCCGCCTGGGCTGCCTGGGTTTGGACACAGTCACTTCTCAGCAGCCCCATCGGGGAACTGGGGGTCCCATGGCCGCCCCATCGGGGAACGGGGGTCCCATGGCTGCCCCATCGGCGAACGGGGGTCCCATGGCTGCCCCGAGTTCTCCCCGGAGTTGCTTCCTCGTGAGAGAAGCACCCAGGGCACAGGTGGTTGGGAACTAACTGAAGTGACCGTGGGCCGCGCCCACTTTAGTTCCTGACCACACAGCCCTCAGGGGCCAGCGCAGACCCTCCTCCTCCTCCTTTTCTTCCTCCTCCTCCTCCTCCCCCCCTCCTCTTCTTCCTCTGGCTGCAGCCCCACACACGCCCCCAGCTCCTCTCCTCCCTCAGCACTCAGTGTGCAGCTGCTTGTCTTTAGACTTTGTGGGCTTTTATTGATTTCAGAGACTAAGGGAGAGAGAGAAACATCCGTGATTAGAGAGAATCACCCCTGCACACCCCCATGGGCACTGAGCCTGCCACGGGGCATGTGCCCGACCAGGAATTGAACTGTGACCCTCAGGTTCATAGATGAGGCTCAGCCCCTGAGCCGAGCAGCTGGGCTGTGTCTTTAGACTTTGTGACCACCGCGGCTCATGCAGCCTCAAGGGGAGGAACTAGCCCAGGCCGGACAGCAAGCCCCTGGCTCCCAGGTCCCACAGGCAGGGAGTCTGTGCCATGGGCACTCCTCGTTCACCGCCCCCTCCCCGGCCAGGCCGGCACCTGGGCTGCCCGCGGGTGTTCGATGGCGTCGGGCAGGAGTTTGCACACGCCTGGCGCCTGGGCGATGTCCACTTCGACGATGACGAGCACTTCACCCCGCCCACCAGCGACGTGGGCATCAGCCTCCTCAGGGTGAGTGGTCGCCGCTGAGCGTAGTGACCGGGCAAAGGGCAGCGTGGGCCGGGGGGCCTCTCCCCGGACGTGTCCGCTTCCTCCCGAGAAAGTCCCCTCCCCCTGCCCAGCCTCTGCAGGCACAGCCTCCCCCCCACCCCGAGGGCTGGCGCTGCACCCATGGCTGTGTTCCCTTCTAGGTGGCCGTCCACGAGATTGGCCACGTCCTCGGCCTGCCTCACAGCTACAGGGCGGGGTCCATAATGCAGCCAAATTACACTCCCCGGGGGCCCGCGTTCGAGCTGGACTGGTCAGACCGGAAAGCAATCCAGAGGCTGTACGGTAAGACTGGTGGGGAGCACCCTCCGCGCTGACAGAGGACCCCGCCCCTCCTCCGTGGGAGACCCCGAGCAGCTGCCCCAGGCTCGGGGGTGCAGTGATGGGCGGCCCTGCCCGGACCAGGCTCGTGGGGAGCAAAGCGAGTGCTCTGGGGTTTGTCCCCATGTCCTCTCTTTCCCGGCCCAGTCTGTCCCTGGGAGGCAGGAGGGCACCCATGGTTTCCTGGACCAGGGGGCCACCCGGCCGGGGTGCCAGGAGAGGGACGAGAGCGGGGAGCCGGGGAAGGAAGTGTAACCTGGAGGCAAAGAGCAGTGTGGCCTGGCCGGGAGGAGTTTTCACGTCTGTCTGATGGTTCGGGCTGAGGTGCGGGGTTAGTTACCTGGTGGAAGTGGTTCAGGACTCGGCACGGAGGCCTCAGGGAGGGAAGCTGCCTCTGAGCTTCTGTCAGCAACAGGGACCGTCCCCGTGTCTGTGGCCTCATGCCGCCCTGTTCTCCGCACGTAGCGCGCTTGGAGAACGCCATGTGCCAGAATCCGTTTACCTCCCTCCATGGAGACCCCCCCGTGCGTGCCCAGACCCCCTCCTTCCCTCCAGTGGAGTCAGACCCGCCTCCAAGGGGCCTCAGCTGCACTTAAACCTGCCCCCGAGCAGGGCCACGTGAGAGATGGGGGGCTGTCAGTGATGAGGCCAGGTAACTCCTGTGCCAGCAGAGGCCACGGGGCCTCTCCCGCCCCCCTCAGCCAGGGCCTGCTGCCCCCCATGGGTGCCTGCT